AAGCTGCTTAGGCAAGTCCAGGCTATTCTAGATTCATGCTGACCGTCTCCCAGAATAGGATTTCCATATAGCTGATCCACTACTTTAGTTGTAATAATCGTTTCCATAATCTTGCATGTAGAAGTCAGTTTGATTGGTCTGTAAGAAGGACAGACTGCGACACTCCATGCTCGAGCCTCTTTAACCTAAACCTCACTTCCCTGCTTCGTGCAGCAGGGGGCACTGGCACACCTGCTGCCAACCTTCACATTTTTTGGCTCCCCGTGGAGCAGTCACGGTTGTTAATACCCCGTGCAGGGTGTTCCACTTGCAGACTGCCCTGCGTTACAGTCCTCGCACAAAACGTCACGCCCAGTGCCTCACAGGAGGCTGCTTTGTCTCCAGTCAGCTGCTCTGAAGCGAGCCAGGGAAGGAAGCATTCTGCTCGAGCTTGGCCTCACTGTGCGAAAGCAAATCAGAACCACGGACTGCAACCCACCCGTTTTAAAGGAGTCGCTCAGAAGTATTTAGACAACAGGCTCAAGGTCCTCAAAGAAAAACGATTACAAAACCTACTGCCCCTGTGCAAGTGTTAGTTACATATTACATTTCTGCCGAATCTCCCAGCGGTTGTCCCAGATCTCCTCGTTTATTAACCTACTGTAGGTCTCCCTTCCCAGTTAGCACACTACAGCAGAAGGGTAACAGAGTAAAAATGGCAAGGGGGCGCCGACTGCTTAAGGGGCTTCAGTAAACAGGTGTCTCCCATGTCCCAGAGGAGCCGGCCCTGCATGGAGGTTAAAAAAAGGGACCATTTGTATCGGTGGTCCTGGCCTCGGGCCCTCGAGGGCTACACTCTAGCAGGTCTCTTTACGTCATCGCCCGCTTCAGACCTAATAAGTCTCTCATCCTTCCCATGCTGCAGCGCCTGAAGCAGACAGGTGCTTGCCTGGATAGACACAAACAGCGTGGAAGCAAGTACAACCTAATGCTGCACAACTGAAGCCCACAAAAAACTTCTCCGGAGATGACCGCGAGTGACAACGACAAACGTCGGCTCCACAGGCAATCTCAGCACATCTGCTCCTTTGCAGAAACAGGTTTCTCTTTCACCTTCAGCTGCGGCAACTGAAGCAAAGCCAGATCATTTCCTTTCACTATGACACAGCCGGGGGAGCTGAAGGTTAAGCAGGTTAGTCTTCTGCTGCTTTGCTAAAACAGAAAGTAAAAACAGGAACTTCTACAATGCAGCACAGAACCTGTACAAAATTATACCGAGTTCTTCAAGGTCAGGTGCCATTCTGAGGTGGCTGACTGGATTAATGAACCGCACAAATACTCAAGCAGTAAATAAGCAATTAAATCCAACTATGCAACTGACAATCGGTATACTCATCTGTTTATTCATACGTTTAACTATTAGGAATATTTTGGAGTTTAAGAAGGGCCAGAGACAATCGCCCTTCTGCATATGTGAACTGATACGAGGCTCAACTGAATCCTTCTCTTCATGTCTGTGCTTCGGCAAGCTGCTTCTGCACAAGCAGCCCCAGAGGGAGGAGGAGGCAGCAGCAGCCCTGGCACAGGAAGTGGATCGCTACTGGGGTTCAGCCACGAGCCTGTTCTGCACAGACACTTCCAGCGGTTTCACTGATGGGACACCAAGGACTCCCAGTAACCAGTCCCTGCCCTGCAGCCCTGTGGTCCTGCTGCCACAGGTGCCTGTGGTAGAACAGGGCTGGGGGGGGCCTCTGTGGTGCTGCTGGCATACAGAGGGAGGCAAGGAGGGGGCAGTATCAGAACAAGACACCTCAAGACTTCCTTTCACATTGCCCAAAGTTTCGACAGCCTCGCAGTGACATGTTTGAAATATTTCGGGCTTTCACAAGCGGCACAAGCATTCGAAACATTCAGCGTCTCCCAGTCCACAGAACAGCCCCAGCCTGGGGCAGCCAGATGAGTGCTGGCGTTTATGAAGTGGGTCCGCCTTCTCCGGGCTGCCTCGAGTGCCCTTCCAGCCCACTTCACTGTGCCAATATACAGCCAGCTCCCGAACCGAACAACGGCAAACCAGCAGGCCCGGAACGAAAATGAACACGCGGCCCTTTAATAGCTTTAGGTCAGAGTGCTGTTCCGTAACAATGGGCTAGAAGACGTTTTGAAATAGAGGCTTATCGATATAACCTCTGCTCTTCCAGGGCACATTAAGCGAGGTCCTAAGGGCAACTTCGTGCCAGATTCTCATCTGCATAGCCAGCGGAGCGAGAAGAGGAGGAGAGGGGAACAGGCTGCGGCGCAGCGCTGCTCTCCCAGTAACGCTGCCTCCCAGTGCCGCGCACTGGAACAGAGCGATCCACAGTTGTGCTGATGCGGCGACAAAGAAATTGTTTTAGTTCCACTATAATAACAGTCTGCACAGGATGCCGGTGCGAGATCTGCGATTAACAGCGAAGTCTGACACCAAATTACAGGACTCGGCAGCACAAAAAACACACAAGCTGAAGATTAAAGCACCGGCAGACTGACGCGACCGACGTGTAATCCGAGCAGTTTAATTTGTACACTATAACCTGATTAGTGTAACTCAACCAATCTCACGCTGGACGAGACACTAAATTGCAACTTCTCCACCAGCACATGCCTGCAAGGTCTGCTCTGAGTGGAGAAGCTTGATGGGTGGGGGGCGCAAGGTGGTGGGTGAGATTTTGGGATTGAATAACTAGCAATCAGACAGCCTGGACAGCCTTTAGCCTCAGACCCCCACCATGGACCACCAGCGCCCTCCCACAGCCCCAGAGTCACATTCAGCTGGCCTGCACTTCCCAACTCAACTTCTCAGGACCCTTTATTTCAGCTGCTATGCAAATGAGACAGTAGCTGTCACTGTTGTTGGTGGAAAGTAGAGCTTACAGCTTGCTTTACACGTTTCTAATATTGCATTAAATCCATAAAACCTGAACTATTTTACTTTGAAAATGATTTGAGATAGTGTTGTGGTGGGAAAAAAAAAAAGAGTCTTCTCTGTTCTTACACGAGAGGCTCGGGCTCATTCACTGAAATCCTACTATAGTTTCAGAGAAGAAGTGCTACAGGTGTCTTTATTTCTGTCAGTTGTTCTGTTTCTGACAAAGACGGTTCAGTCCAGACCAAGACGTTAATTTGCTCAGTGTTTCTTCACCTTGAGTACAAGGTACAATGTATAGACTTGACACTAACACACTGCCAAGGCACGCCAGTGTTTACTGGAAAACAGCTAAACTCGAGCCAAATTTCTGAGGTCAAAATACGCGACACTACCTAGAACCCAAACACTCCATTCTTCCTGTTGGATACTGCTGCACCCTAGCATGCCAGCGAATAATTGCTGCCTCTGCAGCATACTCTGAATATTATTTTTGTTTAATTTCAGGTGTACACAGCCTGGAATTTCTACTGCAAGCCTCATGCTGCTGGATAGTTGTGCCACAGGCTGTGCAAACTGCACTCGTGAGGCACCAAGGTGTTGAAGCGGACTGCTGCTGCCCCTGCAGGGAGGCTGCTCAGGGAGGGCAACAGGACTGGGAACTCTCCTCCCTACAGGCCACCCCGAGCGAGCCGGAGCGACCACGGTCTGGCCGAACGCACGCATCCTGCCCTGCAAGCGGACTTCCTGTCCGGGCAGCGCAGGTACCTTCAGGGGGCGCAGACCCCAACCCTCGCTGCTCTCGCGAAGGGGACTGGGTCTCCCACACACGCCGGCAGTGCCAGCAGAGTTCATTCCACTTCCTCCCCGAGTTTTATTTTGGCTCCTGTTTCTCTGGCTCTCTGGGGGGGAAGGAGACAGGTGCCACAGAGGAAACATTTTCAGCTCTTAAAGCACAGTTTTTCTGCACCGCTGCCAGAGCAGATCTGCTGCAGTAGCACGAAGGCGGCTGTGAGCAGGTTTTTGAATCATTACCTCCACATCACAGCTAGGGAGCCCCAGAATCAACCTGGACAGACCCTTCTCCCTCACAAAGAGAATGTGCGAGTCCCGCACACACGACCAGAGAGACCAGCTCCACCTCCTCCTCCGCCGCTTCACCAGATGGACAAACAGCTCGCAGCCTGGCTCACGCACAAAGCTCTCTGCTGCCGGCCAGGCTGGGGTGTCAACAACACAGCAACGGCAGCAAAAAAAAAAAACAACAAGAAATATCACTCGTGAATCTTGCCACTGGATCTCTTTTGGGGAGATGAGTGCTGGGCAAAATTAGATAGCGTAGCAGCAAAGCCCATCATGCGGAGCTGCAGGAGCCCAGGTGGACAGGCACGGTGGGGGACGAGAGTGGGGCGTGCAGTGGGTGTGGGGTCCTGCAGGTATACCTCCCCCCTCCGCTGTCCATCTGACATTAACGGCACTGCGAGCACGTGTGGCGAATGTCACTTCCTGTTTTCAGCGAAGAGCAGCATCGCTCTGTGATAAACGGACCCCCCCGCCTCGCCTCCACCCCCCCGAGCAGCGGCGGGTCTGAGTGAACAGACACCGGGCTGACCTACATTAGGGGTCAGCGCCGGCAGACGTCTCCCTGCGTGTTTTCATGTAGTAATACGCCTGCGGCTTTATGATGGGGAGCGACGGTTTCACGACCCGAGCGCCATGCCCACTCCCGCGCTGGTAATGCGTGTAAACAACCCCCCCCCGGGTCCACGGCCAGGTCCGTGGCGCTGCAGCAGGCAGACGGACGGACTGAGAGCCGCGGCCGTTTCACACGCACGGTACTGCGGGGGCACAGGCACGGCCCCGCAGCCCACGGACTCCACAGCCTGCGCCCGTCCCGCCGGCCACACAGTTAAGCACCTGTCCCGCAGTGTGGACGAGACGGCGGTTCAGCAGCGGCCCCTCCACTCTCACACGCTCAGGCGGCGTGTCGGCACACGGACAGCCGCCAGCAAAAGCGCTGCGCTGCGACACCCACGGACACGGCACGGCGGCGACCCTCTCCCACTCGTGTCCGTGTCCCCCCCGACACCAAGACCAAGACGCGCCCGTCGCCTCTTACCTCGCCGGCCGTGGGGACCCGCCGCTCCTCGCCGCCGACGACGACGACTCCTCCACAGGGACGCTCCGACGGGGCTTCAAAACAGACTGCCCCCCTCCCCCCCGCACCCCCTGCGGGGACGGGCGGCGTTTCTCGGTACCCACGGGCCCGGCGTTAGTCCCACGCGTGACGGGGGGGGGCCCGCGGGACAGACAGCAGGAGCGCGCCTCAGCGTCGCGAGCAGCTCGACACGGCAGGACGAAGCGCCGCACTGTCTCGAGCGGGCGGCGCGCACCCAGCAGCCGGGGCCTGCCATCAGGAAGTGTCAGGTGGAGCGGGACGGGCGGGCGCCCTGGCCAATCGCCGCTCCAGTCGGGCTGCGTGGCACGCCCCCGAACGGTGGCTCGGCCAATCACCTCTACGAGGAGGCGGGACTATGTTAATCGCAGATGAGTGCGCAGGTAGCGAGCCGTGTCTGGGTCTGGTGGGAGAAAATGAAAGGTGTTCGGATCGCTGCGCCGACACCTGCAGTACTGTCCAGGCACTAGGACGTAAAAACCTGGATTTTACCGCGGTGGGGGAGGCAATGTGGTCTGAACCTGATTATTTCGGCGAGTTCAGCAGATGAAACTGCTGGCCACGCCGTCTCAGCGAGTGAATCTTGAAATAAGACTGTTTCGCTCTTTTCGGCGGCATGAAAAATAGCCAATATTGATACACGAATAGAAATCTGTGCATGACAGAATCAGAAACACGCACCAGCGGCCAGCTGAGAGCAAGAGGCAGCGTCTGTAGACGAAGGGGTCCGGCCCGGGTCCACAGCTGGCGGCGGCTGAGCCGGGAGGAGTCCGCCGGCCTGCCTGGGTCGGTGCGGTCAGCCCTGTGTGCGGGGGGTGCGTGTCCACATCACGTTTCCCCAGGGACGCAGGGGCTAATCTCACTCCCTGCTGCTCGATGAGCCCATTTAGTTTCATTATTTCGTTGGTTTTTTCCTGCCGAGGAGCGCTCGGATCGATAGATCTTCGGGCGCGACACAGACGCATGAGCACCGACATGAAGCCCGGGTCTGGACGCCTCTAGTGCTCCTGCCGAATTACAGACAGAGGCGCTGAGAAACACGCAGCACAAAACCGACACGATGCCATGGATCAAAAAGTCAACCAAAAAAAAGAACAACGAGTTAAATAGGAAACAAAACACCGACTTTTAACTCACCTGCGTGAACTGAGCACAACAGGGGCTGTGCCGCTTGAGATGAGTGGAGAGGCGGATCGCAGGTGTCTGCAGTGCTCTGGGGACGGACGTCGGAGTGAAAGCGAGATACCCCAGGCTCTTGGGCGACTCCGACGAACCGAGCAGCGAGTTAACGGAGGAAATAAATCGATTTTTAATCTCGAGCAATTCGGAAACTCGTGAGGAATGTGGTGTCCGGGGCCGACGACTGTGCGTCAAGGACGTATTTCACTGCTTATTTCAAACGGCTGTATCGAAATTCCTGAACTACACCGCAATATAATATAATAAAACTTAACACTTGACGCAGTTGTCTGTTTTCAAGTTTTAATTATATATAAAAAGTGTGTACATTTCGATAATGTATGTCTTCAACTATGAATTCAAATATGTCCTGTATAAAGTGGACTGTTTTATTAGTTTTTCACATTGAGCTGATAACTTTGTTTTGATGTGCTCAGCAAATAATTAAGGATAGGCTTAGAAAAAAATATTTTATTTTAATACCTTAACCATCCCTAGAACAGGCTGGCGACAGTGCAGTGACATTTACTAGCGCGTTTCTGCTTTGTATCCCGCAAGAGCTGCGACTACAGTTACTCCAGGATTTTCACAAAACTCAGATTTCTCAAACTACAGACCCTGCCGCCTGACAGAAGGAAAACCACCAAGAGCACGGTTTCTCCCTTATATGTCCTCGGGTATTCTGAAACACCCTTACAGCGCGTTCTTCTCAACTCCCTCGACACACTGAGCTTCCTCACTCTCTCCTCATCTTGCTCATGAAGCACGTGTTCCCTTACCTAGTTCAGGCAGACACGGTGTGAGCGCACAGGTGACACAGACACGCCTCCCACAGCGAGCCGCTGCAGGCGCTAATATTTCACCCCGCACACCTGGACGACAGCAGCCCCGGACCTCAGACGAGCACAGATGATCACGTCTCAATCGGTTTGCTTCAAGACCCGAAAGCGGATGAAACATAAGCCTCTGAAAGAAAACTGAAATGAACTAAACTGCGATCCAGAACTGCTACAAGTGCAGTTACAGGGCCAGCGGCCTGAACATGAACGAGCTGCTTAAGGAACAGTGGAGCTCGGGTGATGTTCAAGAAGATGTGCACTTCAGGAGCACCGGATTACAGCTTTATAGCGCCCTCTTGCGACACAAAAAGAGATTACAGCCCTCTTGGGAACAGCAGGCAGAATGACAAACCTGGACTCTTCAACATTTTCCGACAGGACCACATTTTAATGAAGTTTAAATAATGTACCCCAATTTCAGTCTAAACACACACCGAGACTTGGAATTCCTAATGATAAGGTAACTATTAGAAAACGTCTAAAATCACAACTGTGACATCAAGCAGACTGTCCTGAAGTACAGCAGGAACAGCGCCGCTGTACCAGAATGTGCTCAATGCTTACCTGGACTGGGGGTGAGGCCTCGCTCCATCTCTGGGGACCCCCCGGACTGCCTGCATGAAGTTCAAAGTTCATCCACACTAAGTAAAAACACGGTGAGGTATGTTCCATAACAGGGAAGGCCAGCCTGATCCCACAGAGCCACAGCCTGGTTTTCAGAGTCACCCTGACAGCGATTCCTAAATGCTGGGAAGAACTTCACCTTTTCTTTAGTGCACAACTCACCTGCTTGAGTGGCCAGAGGGAAGTGTGGACAAAGGCACCAAATTTGTTCAGAGATCATCCATCCATTTCATAACGGCTGCGTCGAACTGAGGGCTGTGGGGGACCAGGGCCTGTCCCAGCAAGCTGCACATGGCAGGGTACACCCTGGACAGGACACCAGTCCACAACAGGGCACACACACACACACTCTCACACCGGGGGCAGTTATCCCATCAGACAATGAACCTCCCAGCATGTCTCTGGAAAGCGAGAGGAAACCAGGGAACCCACATGAGCACACAGGGAACATGCAAACTCCACCCAGACAGCACCCCCGGTCCAGATTTGAACCCAGGACTGCAGACTCACCACTGCGCCGCCAAGCCACCCACTTTCACAGATCATACCACACGCAAACCCAACACCTGCAGCTCTCAAAGACATGGCAGGCCGTTCCCAACAGCGGGACCGCTTTCAGGGCGACCCGTAAGACCTGCTGGTCCGGGGCTCTCTGGGGTCAGGGGCCATGCCTCGTCTGTACAAGAGTTTACACACGGCCAAGCAGAGCCCCGCTTCTTTGACCATCATGCTCTGCAACTCAAAGTGTGCTGAAACAGACAGCAGAAATACACCTCAACAATTCACGATTTAAATATACGTTAACAGTTTATTACACTACATACCTCAGTGAGAAAACCTGTGCTTGTGTGCGTGCGCCTGTGGTGGGATAAAACTACAGCAATCTCGCCTCCTGGCAATGAATCTCTGCACAGCAGGTCTGCTGGATCAGCATTTTTATTTTACAAACAAAAACGCAATTTTCCCCATTGACATTTCTCTTTGTATCATAAAAAAAGCAAATATACAAGCAGCACTGAAAGTCCTGTCACAAAAAAAACAAAAATAAAAATAACCCAGATAATAGAATGATTATGAGTAAAATATATAATTTGAATAAATATATTTGTTTTTTTTTCATAATTCATGCTATAAAATAAATTCATAAATGGCAAGTTAACAGTTGTTACAGCATCAGCTCTAGCTAGCTTCATTTACTTCATAGTTATAAAAACAGTAGAGTTCTGAGGTTCACAGTTCGGTTGTGAGGTTGCAGGTACAGAGGATGAGCAGGGTCCGCCCCCGAGCCCCGAGCCCCCCCGGCCTCTGGGCCACCGTCCCGCGCCAACGAGCCCCCCGGGGCTCCAGACCTGCCCCGCCTTCACCGGAGCGCACCCGGGCACGAGCGTCACCCAGAAACCCCCTCTCGGGAGGAAGTGGCTCCCGGAGCTGACCGTGGGAAAGCCAGGGCTCCTGGAATCCCGCCCTTCCTCACCTCCCGTCCGAGAGGCGGGGGGGCCGTGCGCCTGTGCCCCCCCCTCCCCCTCCCCCTCCCTTCGCAGCGCGGGGACCAGCGAGCTCCGCAGCAGGGGGTCTCGGGAGTCTGGGACAGGACCCGCCGGCGTCCCCATCCCTTTTTGTTTTTGACACAAGACGGAGGTGCGACCGTTCCAGCAGCTGCGCCCCCTGCAGGGGGGGGGGGTGGGTTGGGGGGCGCAGGCAGAGCTGGTGGGACAGTCGCACCCGTTAGACATGTTCACTCGGCCTGTCCAAACATTCACAAGAAAAAACGTCTGAAAACAATCGGATGCACGCTGCCGGACACTCCCCACTGCCTGGCGTTTCTCCAAATTAAACGACAAATCGGAACAGACCCTTCCCGGGGTTTTACAGTAACAACTCTTCTCGAGAATTATGAGGACACTAGATCAAAAGGTTTATTGCTTTCGTATTTCACGGTACAGGAAAATGTTTCGACAGAAAAATGGAAGACTGCCTGGGGGCTATTAACGCATCATCAGTGTTCAGAAACTACCTGATACCCATCGATCCGACATCTGTCAATCTCAATTCCCAGGAGCCCCCCCGCCCGTCCCGGAGCGGACCCCTGGAAACCGGCCGGAGCCTCGCGGCTGTTCTGTGACGTTTTGAACAAAAAGAGTGAAAGCAGCTGAGTGTCAGGTTCAGCTGCGCAGTGAATATGGTTTAATTAGTACGTATATCTCATAAAAAGCATTTACATAAGTTTTATCCCCCCCCCCCATACTATTTATATTTATATATATTTATATAAAATTAATAAATAAACCTGACCAGTCTAAAAGCACCATTCAAGGGTAAAAATTCCCCATAAAACAAAAATAAAAACATTGAGACGCTTCATAGTTGAGTCCCTTTGAGGGGGGCAGATTTTGTTCTCCATGAATCCCCTTAGGAATAAAAAAAGTTAGTAAGAAGATTAAAAATCTGTCCTGGTGCGATATCAATGGCTGATGATAGTGTATTCATGGGTCTCAAGGACATTGCAAACCTGCCCCCTGCAACAGCAGCAGGCCTGGTTAGAAACCACAACCCTCCCTCTACGGCACAGAGCTCCCCAACAGACCTGCACCGAATCACGCCATTCATTCCTTTCTCCACTCGCCCCTTTTAAGCACGGCTGCAATCATTCTGCACACCTGCACAGCTTTTTAAATGTAATGGCTGTGGTGCCGATCCGTGCAAGGTCACTCCACCTGCAAGAGCCATCTCCTCGGGTGTTAAACGGGTAAGAAAAGATCCAAAAAGCAGCCGACATCTGACAGCAGAATCGCTACCGAGACACAAACGTGGCACCACGAGGAATCCATTATTCCTAGTCAGAGCGAACTACACTCTCTGCTTGAATTCTTAATCGCAGACAGGCAGGAAAGCCCTCTCTTTCAAAATCATCCTTGCCAGTTCCCAAGGCCTAAATAAAAATACTACAGAAATCTGAGTGTTGAAGGGAACAAGCGTTCTTAAAAATCTCAGGAAGGCCTAGGAAAGTTTGCTACTCAACATCTTTTTAAAGCATGAGAAACACGCCACACTACATCAGAAATTCTTCTGAAGTCTTGCAATATGTTTTCCAGAAGGAACAAAGAAAAAATTCACAGTTTGCAGTGGCAGATACAGGAGAACCACACACTGAATTACCTGATAACACGAAAGGGACTCAAATATGGGCCTGCCTCTGATCAGTTTTTTTAGTAATGCATATTAAAAACAACCTATCACAGCATGTTTTACTGATTTTGCATTCAATATAAATGTAGTAAATAACAGTACTATACCAACCTAGTAATTCAAATAAAATCAGTTGATTAGACATCTGCGAAGAGATCCACCCATTACAAAGTCAGTGACTCCCCGATATATATTCACAAAGTATATTCTTTGATCCCCTTTCTTCGCATGTGAACAGTAGAAGTAATGCCTTATTTTTAATGTAGTAAAGTGAACCTGGCAATAGACATTTTCTTGCGGCAAGGCACAGACAAAGTTGAGATGTCAGCTTGTGTACCAAGGAAAAACGAATTCACTGTTTTTAAAAAAAAATGACATCTGGAAACAGGAATTCCCAGTCACCATCCCCTTTATAAAACCACATTATCTACAAATGCACACAATCCCAAAGATTCACGTTTTGAAGGAGTTTGTTATGGCTTTGTGCACACTGTAAGTCTGCAGGGAACCATAAGAGGAAGGAAAAAAAACATGTGGGATGCAAAAAAGAAACTGGAGGGACAGAAGAGACCCCCTTTTTCTTGAGATCTTGGGAGTCGGACTTATGGTTTTGCACTGAAATAACCACTTTGATATCTTGCGGTTAATATCCATCCATCTTCATCTGTTTATTCCTAGCAAGTGTAGCAACAGCCGCACACGGTGCAATGCGAGAGTCCACCCCCCAGGGGGCGCCAGTCCTTCACAAGACAACTCAGAAACACCAGTTAACGCAGCCAGCATGCCTGTGGAAAGTGGGAGGAAACCTAGGTGGATGTGGGGGAGAACGTGCAAACTCTGCACAGAAGGCATCGAGCCTGGGCTCGAACCCAGGGCCCAAGAGCTGCGAGGCAGCAGCACTGACTGCCACACTGCCATGCCGCCCAGTGGTTGACATTTGACACAAACATTTGGCAACGCGTTCTAGTCGTTTGGTAAACTCTTTGGTAAACCCCAGTGTGAAAGCTCCCAGAGGGCTGATGTGATATGCTGGTCCCAGAGAGACCCAGAGCCGCGAAAAACCAAAGCCCACTTCACCAGAAAGAAATGCACTCCAGCACGCACAACACCATGAACTCGGATAAGCCCATTCGGTAGTACTCTGCTGAGGAAAGAGGAGAAAAACAGGGGCTACCTGTATAATCTTTTGAAGGTCCCAAGGTTTTTGTGTTGACTAGTTTTCGTGCTGGAGTTGTCACACTTGGCAAATTCTCACATTGCACATGATGAGGACCCGGTCTGCCTCCGAGAGAACCTTCTGCATGATGACGTTCACATTCAGCTGAGGAATTGCGTTCTCTACTGACTGGGCACCTACAGCACATCGCACACATTTGTTTGCTAAAGCAATTATGCAAACCAGCTCAATTATTCCCAGACTTGTAGCCATATCCTAGGAAACACAACTAGTTCCAGGAAAACTAGTGTCTCTGGCCTGGGCTCTAAGAGCTAAACTATTGAAACCTACATTTTCCCACTACACGCTTCGGAAATAAAACACTTTGTGCGAAGACCAGGATGACTGTTTTCTATAAAGAAATAGAAATTTAAAAATTACATCAAAGTCTAAATTTAAAGTAACAATTTAGAACCAAAGGTAAAAATGTGGGAAAACCACCTGCTCATTCCTTTTTGTGGCAAACGGAGCAATTTCAATCACATTGAACGGTACAAAGAATAAAACTACGGTATGTAGTCCTGTGTCCATAGCATTGGCATGATTTAAAAAGTTCACATCAAACTTCCTGTAGTGACCTAGGTTACACAATGTGCACAACTTTAAAAAAAGCACCATGTTCTAAAAACAAAGATTTGTTCAAGAACAAAAAAAAAAGTATGAAAACAAACTGCGTCATTTCAAGACAGCTAAGCACAGCATGAGCACAGTTCATGGTTTCCAAACAAAGTGGGAAGGATGCATGTCGAGATTCTGAAACTTGGCTTTGACCGAGAGACCCTGCCAGGATGCTTGCTTAGACAAGAGGAGGACCTCACTGAGCTCTTCTACATCGCAAGAGACTCATTTTACAAACACTGACACCTATGCCAGCAGTGGGGCCAGTAGGAGGCGCTCACCCTGCGGCGGGTCCTAATGCCCCAGTATAGTGAAATTCCCCACTGGCCCTTACCAGTCATGGCCTCCTGATGACTAATGACTTCATCACTCTGCTCTCCTCCCCACTAACAGCTGGTGTGTGGAGCGCTCTGGTGCACTGTGGCTGCTGTCGCAACATCGAGGTGGGGCGGGTGGTGGAGGGGAGTCTCCAGTACCTGTAATGCACTTTGAGTGGGGTGTCCAGAAAAGCGCTATATAAGCGTCACTCATGTGGGAGAAGCAGGACAGCACTCCCGTGATAGGGAAAAAAGCAGTAATAGGCTGGATTTCAGAATTCACTTTCTGTGAAGACCTAGTGATGGACCCAGACTTCCGCGCAGCTGCCGGTAGGGCTGCAGGCAGGTCAGGATGTAGACTAGAGCCCATTCCAGACCTCGGGAAAGCATGACAAAGCCATGCAGATGGGGAGAACAGCTGTCTGAGGTACGGTCCTCCTGCTTGTCCCATTGGGATGAGCTGGGGAAGAGGGGGATATGTGGAAACAGCTGCCACTAGAGACCGCCAAACTCAGCCTCCAAGACATCTGTAAACAGTTTCACCGCAGCAGTAAGTGGGAGAGTGGTATATTGATACAAAGCGTTCCACATTGATCGGGTTGTGTAGTTCTGAGTGTGTTTCTTTAGCAGATTTTGGATGTTATCCAGCGGACTGAAGAGACTTCTGAGGATTCTGGTAGAAGGAGTTCAGGACGTAGCTGTACAGACTGGTAGTGTAGTAGTGTTGGTTAAGCGGAGCGGAGGGCAGCTGATACTGTGTAACCTTTCAATACAAAGCCAGGAAGGAAAACCATTCAGCCTTGAAGTCGGCTGGGTTTGGAGTGTTTTATGGGCAATGATCCACCAAGCCACACATCCAAAAGTAGGATTCCACCACACACCGGGTGGCGCAGGTCAACAGCTCCACCCCGCTTTCTAAGGGAAGCCACGAGCACTGGTGACGATCACGGCCAGTCTGGGCTGTCAGGAGCTGGAGCAGCCCCATGGGAACTCGGGATCGAGAGGAGCGACAGCGGACAGCCGAGGTGGTAGCCACAGCAACACAGTCGAGCAGACATGTCCCTGAGGAGCCAGAGCTTTTCCAGGAGGACTGGCCAAGTACAGCATCACTGATACAGAGGGTCTGCAGGGGGTGGGGCAGCTGAACACCCTGTCAACCAATCACCTGCTGCCCCATGGTTCACACCTAAGGAAACAGGGACGCTGCCAGACCGAAGGCTCGGGGACAGTTTTGATCACCACACCACAAAAAGAACTGTAGAGCCTTAGTTCAGAAAGGATCGAGAAGAATGACCCCTGGTCTCAGAGCAGCACCAGCTAAAGACTTAGTGAACTAAATCTCTTCAGTCTAGAACAAAGGAAATTTCATGCAAGCGCATATGGTTCTAGTGGAGGAGAAGGAGGAGACGTCCAGCCCAGGCTGCTGCAGAAGAGCAGGCCCGCCAAGTGATGACAAACTCAGTAGTGAGAGCTAGAATTCACTCAGAAAAGCAAGCTGGCCCTGTTCTCAGTGCAGGCTGGTCCGGCTTTGTGATCCCGGGCCGAACCAAGCTCCGCCCACGGCCGGTCGGGTGTGCTGGCGTGAGCCCTGGCCCTGTGCCAGCTGCGGTCAGCTGTCCGCAGAGCTGGCACAGCGCACGGGGAAGGGAGCCCTGACAAACGGACACTTGTCAAAGGGGGAGAGGCCGGCGGCAGACTCGCTGCTCTGTGCGCCAGCAGCACTTCAGAATCGGGCTGCCCGGCCGGGCTCCTGCTTTCAGCCTCAATGGCCTGATGGGAGGCGCTGCAGCTCAGTGGGGCCCAAGCGCCCCCTCTCTGGTCCGGGCTCCATCGACCCGATCCGGTCCAGGACCGGGAGCTCTGGAGCCCGCAGGTCAAGACCTGCAACCCGACACATTAAGAGACAGCCGAGCTGATCTGTGGGTCCGGTCCGGTCCGGTCCGGTCCCGAGGCGCAGGTGGGGCCCAGAGCAGCGAGAGGACCGCGGCGGGCGGCTCAGCACCATGGCGACCACGACGACGGTCGCCTGGGAGACGGGCCGCCGTTGCTTCAGCATGGCCTTCAGGAGTCAGGGCTCAGTCGGGCAGAATCCTGCTCTTCCAAAGTGCAGGTCTGGATCTCGGGGTGATGCTTGATTCTTGAAAGACACACACTTGGAGCTCTAACTCCGAGCAAGTCCACCAGTCCTCTCTTCGTTAACCGTCTGAGGAGCCGACACACCAGCATCTTTAGGATTTAGAACAGTATTGCAATCGGACGAGACTGACGACAAGAGGCCCAATGCATGAACTAAAGACAATGAAAAGACTTATATGATACTAACGAAATGCAAAGCACACTACTGGGAGAATCTAATTCTTCCTCTTCCAGCCCACTCTGCTTCACGGCTGAATCGGAAAAGCCCGGCACGGCCTTGCTGCCCACAGCCCACGGCTCTGCAGGACTTTTCGCCATCAAGGAAAAGCAAAACGAAAATCTCCGCCCAGCTCGCAGGTTACAGCTCGCTCCTCTAGCACAGACAGGGCAGGCCTGATGGAGAGAAGGCCAGCGGCTTCCACCGTAAGTGCTACTTCCTGTAAATAAAATAAAAAAACACCAGCACCACACCGCGTTTAGCCAAGACAAACAATGGGGCGAAAATCCACACCGTCAAATCATGCAAGCCTACGACTCTCTACCTCCCGCCCCCCCTCCTGCGCTGCCGTGCGGAGAGCCGGAGAGCCCGGAGAGCCGGGAGCAGTCCGCGAGAGGAACAGGGAGCACTCCAGCGGGCGCGGCGAGGCCCGGTGCGGACGGAAAGCTTGCCCAGGGGCCCCCGTCGGGCCCTTAGCTGTGAGGACGAGCCCGACGGGTCCTGAAGGGAAATACTGTCCTGTGGTGTGTGTGCTCTGGAGACTGAGGTATCGAACGGGTGGACTCCGCACGCGGCGCCGCGCCGCTGGAAACGACTCCTTGTCGAGATGCTCCCGCCCCTCTCGGCCTCGTGCCCACGCCGGAGCTCCGCGGAGGTCTGCTATCGGGGCTCCCGCTTTATTGCAGCGTGTCCACACGCCTCGGACACGGGAACACGGAACGTCGAAGGGGGAAACGCCGTGGCGCGACCCCGGACAGCACACCTGCCCAGCACTCCTCCTCCTCCTCCTTTTGGAGTTTCCCAATAAATCCGTGGAAGTACACGAGAGGAAACTTTCAAAACCAAAATCATTAAAGCTCCGTTACGGGGGGGAAAAAAATCTGAAAGCGCGACACAACAACAACAAAAAACAAAACGACAAGAACGAACTAGAAATCACATCTGGACGCCTGGGCCTCCGCCGGGCTGCACCGGTCGGCCTCCTCCTGGTCCTCGCCGCCCCCGCCCGGCGCGCCGAAGTCCGCCGCCAGGGGCTCGTCGGGGTCCCTCTGCTCCGCAGCGCCCTCTGTTCTCTCGGGGGACTCCAGGTGGTTGCGCGCGTCCGCCAGCCCCATGTGCTTCTTGCGCAGGTGCTGGTTCAGGGTGCCCTGGAAGGGGAAGCACTTCCCGCAGATCTCGCAGCGGAATGGCTTGTTGTCCGTGTGCCCGCGGATGTGGTACTCCAGCTGGTCCTTGCGCGTGTACTTCTTGCCGCAGAACTTGCAGACGAAGGGCGTGATGCCCATGTGCAGCCGCATGTGCCGGTCCAGGCTGCCCTTCTGGTTGAAGGACTTGCCGCAGTAGATGCAGATGAGCCGCTCGTTGTAGGGGTACCACTGGCCCTGCAAGCTCCTCTCCTGCAGGTCGCCCTCGAAGCCGCCGCCGCCGCCGCCGCCC